AGCAGCAACAAACTGGACGTAGGGACGTTTCGCCCGAACCAGTATAAATCCTGTGTCCTTTAGCGCACCATCCGAGCCTAACGCGCATTACTATAAATTCACTTGCCGGTGCTTGTACGAAACACCGACACAACCTTTTCATTAGGAGTCTTCTTGATATTCATATATATAAATACATGCTTGAAACTCTGAACATTGTATAAATTATTTTGCTACCAAAATAGCTTCACACAAAAATGTTATAAGTTATAGATCATAATCGGGCGTTGTAATTTTTATATCAAATTCTATCTTCATACTAGGTCATATAAAAAAGTTATAAATTTCTTGGAAGCTTGCTATGTAGGGTATATTTAATAAAAAAGCCCCCAATTTATCGGCTCGCTAGCATAGCACAACTATATCATATGACCTCGTATATGAATATAATTTATAAAAACTATAGGGATTGGCCAAATCTTCAGTTTTAAAGTCCATAACCTTTTCGTTTGAACCCATCTTGACCTGATAATACTCGGTTATGTATCTGTAGTTGAACATCATATTGATTATTTTGGCTAGCAAAAAAAATGATATACCACAAAGTTATATAACTCATCGACTAGAATCTTCATGTAAATTTTATCCCCATTCAGGCCACATGGAAAGCTTACGATTTTCTTTAATATGTTATAGAAAAGTTGAATCCGGTCGATTCATTTTAGCACATAAGGCTATTTCCTTTCATCGTCTGCGTCGCTACCCTTTTCCGTCAGACTCCCGCCAAACTTTCCGTCTGATGCTGTTTTGCCGTCCAGCGCTTGCCGCTTGGGCCTTATTTTACCAAACAATCTGGGCATCACACATGTGGGCCAAACCCAGCGCTCCCTGCGTACGCTGCGTAAGCTAGCCGAGTAGACTCGTGACGGCCCAGAACAGTCTCGGTCCAACTGGTCCATGACCGCGTCAATGCAGACCTGGAGCGGGCCTCCGTGGCGACGAGCAAGAGTGGTCCTTTGATGCTGACGAGCAGGAGTATGCATACGGTATCCATCGAGACTGCATGCATACCTGCTTTAGTTGCCTGACACCTGTCCATTACTTCCCAGAAATCTCGCGGACTGGAAGCAACGGCTCGGCTCGGCTGGAAACACTGACCGCACAAATCAAAGACTCCAGCCGCACGTCGTTGGATGGTCTCGGCTTGGCCCGTGCATTAGCAGGTGCAAAGTGTGCGACTGTTCAGGGACTCCAAAATTACAGGGCCTCTAAATTTACACAATACACTAAGTTCTTGGATGATAGAAAATTGCTTTCTTCTTGTGTCAATCTAGAAGTAAAACTTAAGAGTGAACGTTTAGATATTGATGGAAGAGAATTATACGTGGAGTTAAAGTTCATCCAAGATCATATTGATAGATCTATGGGCCCTCTTGATATTCTGAAAATATTTGAAACAGCATGGTTCTTTCCCAAACGCCATTATTGCATACAGAATTTTGTTAACCATTCCTGTTACTGTTGCATCTGCGGAAAGGAGCTTTTCTAAACTCAAGTTATTGAAGTCCTACTTGCGATGTACAATGACACAAGAAAGACTCAATGGGTTGGCAACAATAGCACGTGCAAATGATATTTCGGAGATGATCAAGTATCAAGATATAATTGAAGACTTCATTTCAAAGAATACTAAGAGAATGATGCTTTTCAGTAGAACATAAGGTCAGTTTGTTGCTTAAGTACTTTTTGTATTGTTTTAGTATCAAGATTTGATATGTTCTAAGTACCGTAAGAACAACGTATATTTGAAGCTTTATAATAAAGTAAAAGTATGTCTTTGTTATATTATTTTCATATAAATTTTAGGGCCACATCACGCGTTTCGTTCAGGTACCTCCAAATCGTAGGTACGGGCCTGGGCTTACAAGTGGTATTCATCTACCATCTGTATGCACGCACTTCTTGTGGATACCGTTTGCATGCAATTTTTTTTCCGAAATGGGATGGCCATTCTCCCTGTTAAAGCCAAGGTTGGCTGCGGCAGGAGAGCCATGCCAGGTCTCCCTAAATTCATTGGTGCAGCCACGTCTCCCCGAATTTCACTTCACGTGGCTAGAAACGAGCCACGTCACCCGAAATTCCCGTCCAAAAAACCCGCTCTCTCCGCTCCTCACAAAAAAAATACCGATCCTTCCAGCCTCGCTTCCCTCGCCTCCCCGACCCCGCGCCTCCGCTACCGCCGCCCCGCGCCCCCGCCCCTCCCATCTCCGACGCCACCGGCGTGCCCGGCCGTCGAAGCCATAGTTGCATCCCACCTAAACGCCTTCTCCTCGGCGGTACCCTAATCAATTGACAGCCAGGTAACCTCGTCGGTTCTCTCCGTTGTTTGATTCTTGTTCTCCCTCGATTCCATTGGATCTCACAGGCCGCTTCGGCCACGGCGACCCGTCATGGCAGCACTGGCGCTCTGGCGCCAGTGTCCCTGGCTCGGCCGAACCTCCGCGCGGTGTCCCTGACCCGAGCGGCGTACCATCCTTCGCCTATTCTACCTGCGCAAATGGTCACCTCCCGACCTGGCTAGGATTAGAGGTTGCTTTCTTGTCCGATTTTGACCTGGTTAGGGCTAAAGGTTGTTTTCTTGCTCAATTTTGTGCTTTTTTTCATCGACTAGCAAATATGCCCGTGCGTTGCAACTGGAAAAAACTATCAAAAAATTATGAAAACAACGACAGTAAATATATATCAATTTATATTTTACCTTTTCTATAAAAAAATTAAATATACAACTAATTTGGAAATAATACAATAATGTCCTATTAAGTCCATATCAAATTTTAAATACAATCATGATATATTTTTTTCTCCCATTACAAAGCACATTATGTGTTGATATAGTTAAATATCGAGTTTTATGACTTCTCTTTGTAGACCCATATTCATGAACTGGTCTATCCACTGATGATTATGACGGGAGTTCTCTCTAAGTTTTTCACATATAACCTTTGACGATAATTGCACTGGTACAATAAAATACAATCTAGAGACAAATTTATTTAGACCAGATCAGACAACAAATTGGTTAATATTTCAGTTTAAAGTTTGATTAGTTAGACAAAAAATTTAACCAGTTACAATAAGATATTTTTTACTAATCATCAAAACTATATTAACATCTTGGCAGTGGAATTTCTTCTTTTTAAAAGAGATCAAGAGTTTAAAAGATCTATAATATTATATTTATTATTTATAATATAACAAATTAGAACAAAAAGGTATTGGAAAATCAAAAAGAAACAAAACAAAAAATGTAATGGAAAAAAGGTCTAGGGAGTTAAGGTTCGGAGACCCAACTTGAAAAAAGGTAAAAGAAGAAGCGGAACGTGGGAAAAAAAGATGAGGAAAAAAGGAAACAAAACGTGAGAATAAAAGGAAAAAATAAGATAAAAATGGAAACGAAACGTGAAAAAAAAATGAAAACCTTACGACATGGTGTCGACGGTACTTACCATCAACTGTCAACATAACTTGAATAAATGCATAAAAATGATCACCAACATAAACATTAGGGGTTTAAACTGATAATTTCCATGAGTTTTTAGTAAATCTATGTTTTCAGCAGGGTTTATCTAGAAAACCGTCAAGGTGGATCAAATCGTCAAAGTAAATCGCGCTTATCCGCAACGAAAACAACCCTAGAAGATTGACATAGACTCGAGAGACACCACACCGAAGCAGAGGGCGTGACGTCGCTAGGTGGGGCCTGCAGGCCGGCCGGCCCCCTGGGCCCACCTGTCATGCTCCGCTTCAAAAGTGTGGTAGAACCACCTGAATTATAAGGCCCACATGCACATGTCATTGTCTTTAAGACCTCTGACTGCTGCACATGAGAGCCAGATAATTTTAGTAGTCTGTTTTAACACCCCTGGTGTTACGAGCTCGCTTAGCACCGAGATTTAGGCCTAAGAAAAATTTCCGAAAATGGGTTCCTCGAATTTTGATTTAAAATATACTTAAAGCGATAAGTGAATCATGCGTGACTCAGTTTTATGGACTCAAATAAATGTCCAAGTTAAATTACTCAGTGCGTAAGGATATTGAGGAATGTCCGATAGCAATTCTAGAAAATAATAGCGGATGGTTATTCTATGGAATTAAGCATGAAAAACAATTTTTATAAACAAAACTAAAATATAACTTGTAATTGGTACTTAAATAAAATTTGAAGTACAAGTTTAGTAGATGAAACTGCATCTGTGGATTTGGCGTATAGATGTTGTTCCGTGGCTTGGTATGAAGTATGAGCTATCGCGTGAAATGTTTAGTGGCAGAAGTCGATAGGATTTAGATCTTTTGGAGTGCAAACAACGTATCGCTGTTCACATCCGCGTCGCACGTACAGGCAGGCAGCCAGCAGAGCCACGCGACGCCCATGTATTCTGCTACTGCATGATCTCTCACGTCCTTGCTGCTGCTGCTGCTGCTGTCCTTGCCTCACTGCCATCCTGAACGCTTGAATACGGCGGTGCCCCTGCTCTGAATCCATCAATCATCGAAGTTATTCGCGTCGCGCCACGTTGTCGGGCCCCCGTAGCCGTGTATGCGATTTTTGCCGGCCACCACCGATGGAGCCAGTCTTAATTGCTCGTGCCACGTTGCCCTGCCCCTGCGTGCGCCATGCCCGACAGCCCTTGTCTTGCTCGATCCTCGTAGACCCTGTTCTCGTCCTTTCGGTCGTGGCCGCACGTGCTGCTGCTCCCTACACTCTGCTTCTTGTGGACGCTCGCTCGCTCTCACACTCACCTCTGCTCTCTCTCTCCCTGCTTGCTTCTGCCGCTGGAGGCCGCAGTCGCCGCGCGCAACTTCGCCTCGTGCGAGCACCTGCCTGACTGCACCATCGTCGCTCGACCCTCCTCGCGCGCATGCTCGAGCGCCCTGCAACTTCCGCAGCGCTGCCCCTCCTTTTTCCTCTCCGCGTCACACGCCCTGCACTCCGGCATGACCGTGCTCTCGTTGCTTGCCTACTATGCCTCCTGCCCGTCCGTCGTGAGCTCCACTGCCGCGCCGTTCCTGCTGCTCCACGGCGCCGCCCCCTCCTCTGCTTGCCTCGCATAGGCACCCCGCGAGGGCGTGCTGCTCATCCGCGCCCGAGCCACGCGCGGCTCCTCGCCTTTCCACTTGTGCGCTTGTGCTGCTCTTCCTTCCAGATTGCCACATTGTCCGCTGTGCCCCGTAACCCCGCGGGCACTGCTGGGACCACCTCGTGCGAGCTCCCGCCTTGGCTGCGTCGCCGTCATCGGTCCTCCCTCGCAGGAGCACTCGAATCCCCTTTGCCCCGCAGCACCTGCCAAGACCGCACCCACCGTCGTCCGCCGGCCCGCCCTGTTGCTGCTGCCACCGCGGGGCTCCGCCTCCACGGCACCGCCCCAGCCGGGTGTGCGCCTGGTCCGCCCGGTGCCGTTGGGTCTGCCCGGCCAGCGCCGCTACGCGCCGGGGCCGCCGTCGCTGAGCCCCACGGCCCGCTCCGGACCGTAGCCCCACAGCGCGCCCGAGCCCTGCATGCTCCGCACCACCACCTCGCCGTGGCCCGCACGCCGCCCGAGAACGCCGTCGCGCCAAGCTGCCACCCGCAGCATCCCCGCCGTTGTCCGCTGCCACCATGCCCCCCAGCCGGCCGCCAGCGGTCGTGGCTAGACTGCCTTGGGCTGTCCCTGGCCATGCCGCCAACACCCTCGGGTGCGGCAGGTACCCTCGCTGCCCCACGCGCCGACCCGCGACAGCACCGCCGCCAGCGAGCCGCTCCCTTGGCCGGCGGATGGCCTCCCCTGCCGGTGCTTTGTTTTGAGGAAGAGAAGGTGAGAAAGGTGAATCGAAACTAATACAGGGTTCTTATTCCAGATAACATGTTTTACGGCCTTGAAAAAAATTGCAAAAACGATAATGGTTGAATACAACAATATCATTGTAGCAATTTCTTACCTTGTGCCCGTACTCCACATAGTACTCATGGAAGACCTTAATATAGTGATGAAGCGTGGATTTTCCTTCAATAGAGTCAGGGGTCAACGATTTCAAGCTTGATGAAGATGGAAGTATAGGTGGGTCTGGACCAGCAATAAGCTCTTTGCTGATCATTCCAGTTGCAGGAGGCTCCACATCCTTGGTGCTTTTGCTTTCTATGTCTAGCTGAAGAGGTGTTGGTTCCTTCCAACCCTTCATCTCCACCACAAAGCACTCACCCAAGCATGTGATGCCAACTAACTGTACATGACCATATGCATCAGCTATGGTAACAAATCCAGAAAGAAAAGGAGAACTTGTTTCGCTGTTGCCTGTAGTGAGGACAGGATGCACAGAGGGTGGTGTCGAAGACATTTCGGGGTATGAAAAAGGTAGGAAGTGCTGTGTGACCATGTCAAGCCCCCCACCACGCGCACAATAAAATCTCTCTGGAACAAGGGGGTCAGGAAACAATGACAGAGAGTTATCATTAGGAGTTTTTGGTAGTGCCAAATCCACAATTGCGAGCCTTAGCAAAGGAGGAGAGTTCCCCATCCAAACAGCTTCTATGTTGCTCTTCACGTTTGATCCTGTACTAGATGGTCGATGTGATCTCAAAGCCAATGGATCTTGTGAATTAGAGTCACATATCATGGCAACACTCTTTATTTGTCCATGTGAATCGACATTAAGGCGAGAAGGAACCCCAATGTTCCACTGCGGTTGAATTTCATCTGCAAGAGCATCAATCTGGAGCTGCCCACTACCCCAGGCAGTCACAAGAACTGAATCTTTGCCAGCAGAACTGTACATAAAACCTACAGCTTTTCCTTCGCAACTGCTGTTCTTGCCTTCAGATTCATTACTTTCCTCACAAACTCTACAAAGAGGCCCCTGCATAGGTTCTCAACCAGATCAACATAGATCGTGATTCATGAGCTTCACGTTAAAAGCAAAGAACACAAGTTATACACAATAGGATGTTCAAATTTGGAATGCCAAATCTAAACGAATGAACACTTTTTGAGTAGTTTTTCAGTTCCATGATATTTAAAAACTTTCCTTTTAATAAAAACTGTAAATTCCATATATGTTTTTAACTATTAAGATACACCAATGAGAAAAATAAATGGCAATCAAAGAAACTTCAGGTTTACAATAGATCGATTTATAGATGTTAGACCTATTGAAAGTAAGGTGACCTTCTAATATTTGAGTTCGGTTATCCATAAATACTGTGAACCTCCAAAAGTGTAGATTTTTATATACCCAAACTGGTAGAGATTATATCCTCTTTTTACACAAAATGAAGTGTCATCTATAATTTGGGAACATAGCCATCCCCTTTCCTTTAAAAAGTATTGACTTGATGTCCATGCACAAATAGATGCAATAATGTAGTATGAGGACATGTTACAAAGCTAACCATCCCACACCCCAACATTTGATAAAACTAGCTAAAATTAAAGGTGAGAAACACCAGCCCATACTCCAAAATAAATTATGAATTTCTTCACCATTTTCAATACTGATCCATTGGAAAATTATCTTGTTACCCAACACACAGTCTATCAGTTATTGATGCATAGCACAGTCTCTCAGACAAATATCTCATAAAATCAATGTAGAAGAAGACCTGTAATGTTAGAGAATCATCTACTGGCGCATATGCATGACCTTTTGACATCAGAAAACTGGTATCTGTTGATTGATGTAACAGGTCAGGAAATGTTGCCTCCAACCAAGCTATGGCCAAATGTGAATTAGTGACAACATTTGGATTTGAAGATTTCAATCCAAATGCATTAACATCTTCATATATCTCTTGAATATGTTTCTTGCTATAGTCACTGCATCATGAAAAAGAAATTTCAAAATTAAAAACCAACCCACAGGCCACAGATAAAAGAGAATGTATATTACGGATTTAAGAATACTGAGACATTTCCATATCATTGCCTAATACATGCACCATATTTGCCTTTTACAAAAGAAAATTAGCTCAACAATTTGTAGCTTCAACAATGCCAGGCATTATAGAAAATCATAAGAATTCAACAAATAAAACAGAAAAACGTCATATTACCTTCCAAATGGAACAACAGGACAGAGCACAAAAATTGAACCATCACTGAATAAGATGAAAACCTGCATAAAAGATGGGTTTGCATGTGAATTGTGAAATCAAGCAGACGAACCATCCGACACAAAACTAAATGATAGCTATAAAGAGTACGCATGTCCAAATGGTAACTTAAAACCAAACCTGATACACGGCAATCATGTCATGTATTTGTGTAACTCTACTATGACTTACAGTGCGGGCATAGATTCACGCAAAAAAAAAAAAAAATGCATGCACCATCGAAACACACAAACAAACAAACAAAAAACAGCATGACATTCCCATGTTCATTTTACAAAGATGTCACAATGCAAATCGTGTAGATTAATATTGTAAAAACCTTAAGACTTAAAAAAATGTCACAAGTAAATTGACCTAAGGATGGTGTGAACAAGGCCACTATCTACTTGAAGTAGGAACTAACTTTGTTATAATCTTCATTAGTAGTTACCATAATAATCCAGGAATGTGAAATCAACTCTATTTTTTCTCCTTGGCACCTAACATAAGTTATCAACGCTCCTGGTAAGTAATTTTTTCTATACTCCAGGTGCATATACGCCACATATTGGAGATGTCGTATTACATGGCCATGTGCTGACTATACTTTAGTTTAATTTGCATACGGGAATGGCAGCCATGCATGAGCTTTCTGGCATGTACATTGGAAGCATATCTCTTATCTCTTATATATCTAATCTTGTCGGGGATGGCCGATAGCTATCTGTCGGCCCTCCAAAAGCCGATACCCGGTGTCCTCAAATGCTACATTTGTATTTAATAATTAAAATATATTACCTCTACATCTCTATATATGTCTTCTCTTCTCTACAACTAAAAATTACCGATAGGAATTGTCGCCCGACGAGCGAAAACTTACCAACGTGCGAAGATTACCCGGTGTGCGAAACCAGGCGCCCACACAATGATTTTGCCCGGTCAAAATGGTTACTGCCACTTCCGCACGATGATTTCTCCCGGCCAAAAAGGAAACATAAATCGCATGCCCTCTCCCACGCGCGACGATGCCTGCGGCAAAGGCAACATAAATCAATCGCATCAACGTCTCTCCTATTCTGTTTACCAGGCGGCGGATCCTCCTTCCTCAACCCAGGAATCAGCCACGACGTGTCGAGCAGCACTGCCACTCCACGCGGACGGCTGGGACTTGGCCAGGGTCGGCCCCTGCTCGCTCCATCTTCGTGGACCCCCACAGGCCACTTAAGTGTACTAGACTACTAGTATATATACGCTCTCCATCATCATGTACATACATGTCTCTTGTCGTCGTTGTCCACCGTGTTCTCTGCAATTATGCACTAGTAATTAGTCAACAAAACTCACAGATGCATACGCGCTACTCCGTAGCAGAGAGAAAATTTTTAAATAATATTTTAATGAATAATTGCAAACCTAGAAGCTGTTATACAAAAAGTGCCGATATAGCATCATGTCGGCCTCTAGAAGGCCGATAGGCCTCATGTCGGCACTTCAGCAGCCGGTAGTGGTGACGTGGCAGCCGACGCCAGCCTGTCGGCGCCGATAGCAAACCTGTCGGCAGAAGGCCAACAGGCCCTAACGGTATTCGGCCGGCCGACAGGCCTGTCGGCTATCCACCACCCAATCACACTACGTTACACAAGGCATGCATGAACATTAAACAGTGAGATTGTCGAAGAAAGTGCGTGCAGATCAGACTTTGCAGTCTTGATGAGCGCTGAGGCGACATACCCACTGCCCCTGTCACGCACGTTGTCGTCTTCTCCCCTACGGACGACGACATCACCGGAGTCGATGGTGCTAGCTGGTGACTCTGAGCAAGCTGATCTTTTTCGTCACAAGACAGGTATGCGAGTAGACGATGAAACTGAGCGCGCAATAACATGACTAGTCCTGCTTGTAGGAGGTCAAGGAAAAAAATGGCACGTCCCGTCGGCCAAGATTGACTGAGCTTGTGGATGTGCTGCACGTCATAAACATGGTAAATATCGGCTTTCTGTTTCCTTTCCTTTTTCTGAACCAACAAACATATGATTATGATGATTCCAGTGCAGTCGCCGAATGCTGCATACACCAGATAATCACCGAAGCTAACAAAGCAATATCCACGTGTGTACCTAATCAATCCATGTAGAAATACTAATCACCGAACACTACGTAAAAAACGGTTTGTAGCAACGTGACAAATTTTTTGTAGGGGCGGCTGGTGATGGAGCCGCCCCTACAGTGGCGTGCTCGGGAGCCCAAAGACCAGCCGCCCCTACAAATGGAACAGCAGGGGCGGCTGGTCATACGAGCCGCCCTATAAATGAGTCGGATTGTAGGGACGACTCACTCACCAGCCACCCCCGGTATTGTTATTTGTAGGGGCAGCTGGTGATTGAGCCGCCTCTACAAACGCCCGCGTATAAATACCACCGATTTGTAGGGGCGGCTCCATCACTAGCCGCCCACAAATGACCCACATATAAAGCAAATTGCAGCACCTTCTTCCTCCTCGGGTCACTCACTCCAACCTGTGAAAGAAAGGTGGGGAGGCCTTGGGCACCTCCCAAAAATTGCTCTACTAAGGGGGGAAGGTTTTGGTCTCAAATCCTTTGGTGGAGAGGTTGTAGACGGTAAGAAAATGCTATTCCACACTTTTTTGAAATTTTAATGGTTGGTTAGTAAGTAATTAGAGTTTTGCTTTTCTCTCTTCTATGGTGCTTAAGCCACTTATGAAGCAAATTAGACCCAAGTTTTGAATGTACTAGGGTAAAATATGGAGGGGAATAAGATCATACCCTTATTTGGTCCATGTTTCTTGATTTTTGTGAACAATTAATTAGTTTTATGGATGTTTCATGTGCATGTAGATCTAAATCTAGGGTTTGGTTTCTTTATTAATTTCAGTTTTGTAAATTTGTGTTTGATGAAATTAGACTAGGGTTTACATGAAAGATATTGGGTAAAATATAATTGTTGCTAATTGTTATTTTGAAATTGTTTATTGTAATCAACAAATATGTATTTTAATTATTTATGGATAAATGGGCCATTAATTAATTTTCTTCTACCATGGTGTGTTTGTATGCTTCATGTAATTATATTTGATTTATATTCATATATATCTAAAGTATATACAATTATTCTCAAGTAATTATTAATTTGATTCATTTGTATATATATCTGAATAAGTAGTCATTTATATCTGTTTTGTTGTTGTTGTAAAAGATGGAGTACAGGAACTCTTGGATGTATGGTTCGTTAAGGTTCAAGGCAGGTTTCCGTGAAGAGGTGGATAAATTTATTGAGGCCGCAAAGAAGCATGCAACGACATTGATAGAGAATAAAGATACAATTATTTGTCTCTATAAAGATTGCAAGAACCATATGGCATGGATAGATGTGACTATCATCAGATCACATTTGGTTATACGAGGATTTGTTGAGGACTACACAGTGTGGATTCATCATGGTGAAACGGTTATTGTTAATGACGAGGATGAGGAGGAATACGACGATGAAACCATAGAATCCCTGTCCTAATATTCAGCAGAGCTTGATGCACGAATGGATTCGGAGTTTGGCAATGAACAAGGTGGTGATGCTGGTGGTTGGGATGGTAACGATGAAGGTGGTGCCAATAATGATGGTGGAGCACGTATCGGGGATGAAGATAATTTGGAGGACATGATTCGAGCCCTTGGGCTAGAGATTTTACTAAATAGTCCGAAAGGTCTAGAAAATTAGGAAAGGATGACAAAAGCATCGAAGGAGACTGTGTATGGTGTTGAAAAGGGTTGTCTGACACATTGGACATTGCTATGTTTTGTGCTTGAGCTACTCATCCTAAAGGCTAAGTACGGCTGGTCAGACTGTAGTTTCAATGATCTATTGCATCTCCTGTCATGGGTGCTGCCACAACCAAACTCAGTTTCCACCAACACACCAAGCAAAGAAGGTCATAAGTCCATTGACAATGGGGGTTGAAAAAATCCATGCATGCCCCAACCACTGTATACTTTTTTATGGCGAAACGTTCAAGTCACTGGATAAATGTCCCCGGTGTGGGGCCAGCCAGTACAATAACAATGACCTTTACGGTGGGGACGAAGCCTCTAGGGAAAAAAGAGGAATAAGAAGGGTACAAAAAAGGTGGTATAAGAATCTTAGCCCCTAGAGGACACTCCATTAGGCAACGATGCAAAGCAGAGAAGAATTCCTGCCTTGGTGATATGGTACCTGCCAGTGACCGACCGCTTGAGACGTATCTTTCTAAACCCTAAATAAGCTGCACTCATGACATGGTGGGATGATGAGCGCAAGGTGGATAATGATAAGATTGCACATCCGGCTGATTGTAGTCAGTGGCAAAGGTTCGATGAGAAGCACAAAGAATTCAGCGATGACCCAAGAAATGTACGGTTTGGCTTGAGCACCGATGGAATGAATCCCTTCAATGAGAGGATGAGCGACCACAGCAATTGGGCAGTGATCTTGACCATGTACAACATCCCAACGTGGTTGTGTCAGAAGAGAAAGTATCTTCTCCTCACCATTCTTATTTCTAGCCCTAAACAACCAGGCATTGATATTGACATGTTCCTCGAGCCTTTGATGCAAGAAATGGAGAGGCTATGGAGGCATGGGGAGCCGATGTATGATGCGTTCCGAAAGGAGGACTTTATATGTAGAGCAATAATATTTGTTACTACCAATGATTACCCCACGCTGTTTGCTTTGTCTGGACAGATCAAAGGGAAGACGGGATGCTTGGTTTGCTTGGATGGTACTATATGGGTGTACCTAGATGTATCCAAGAAGATAGTTTACCTAAGGAACCTACGCTTCTTAAAGACAAGTCACAAGTACCGCAGCAAATTGTTCTTTAGATTTTATGACAACACCCCGGAGATTGAACCCACTCCGGAGAGACGTCATAACGGAGAACACGTGTATAGAATGGTGAAACACATACACGTCGTTTATGGAAAGAAGAATCTGGATGGGACGAATAGAGATAGAAGCACACCTCCTATCGAAGGCGTACCTTTCAAGAAACAATCGATCTTCTTTCGGTATCTGCCTTATTGGCTAGACTTGGACGTCCCCCATGCCATTGATGCTATGCACGTGCAGAAGAATGTCTTTGAGAGTCTCATTGCTACCTTGATGGACACAGGCAAGTTAAAGGATGGTCTGAAAGCATGGAAAGACATGGTGCAGCTAAATGTGATGCCATAGCTTCAACCGATACCTGAGGCTGATGGAAAATACACTCTGCCCGCGGCGTGCTTCAACCTAACACCAGACGAGAAGAGAGCTATATGCACTTTCCTGAGGGGGGTCAAAGTCCCCACTGGGTTTTTAGCAAATGTGAAGAAGCTAGTGTCGATGAAGGACTTGTCAATAACACACTGCAAGGCTCACGATTGTCATGTGATGCTGATAGTGTTTCTACCTATTGCAATTAGGGCTATAAAGCCAGAGTTCTTGAAAATGGCCATCACCCGTATGTGCTACTTCTTTTCGAAGATCTCACAAAAGACGATTGGCAAGCAAGAGTTGAGTGACCTACATGAATTTGTGGTGGAGACACAAAACCAACTAGAGATGTGTTTACCTCCTGCTTTTTTATATAATGCCACATCTCATGATTCACATGGTTCATCAGATACAGGCGCTGGGCACTTGCTACTTGCATGAAATGTGGTCCTATGAGCGATTCATGTCGGTTCTAAGTCGATACATGCATAATCGAGCATACCTAGAGGGCTCCATGATAGAGGGTTACAGTACTGAAGAAGTCATCGAGTGCTGTCAAGAGTACCTACAAGTACAGAAAGGGATTGGTAAACCTAATTCTCGTCACAAGGGTAGGCTGGCTAGGAAGGGCACCAGTGGTAGAAAAGTGTTCATCGACCATGATTACAAAGAGGTGAGTCGAGCGCATTACAATGTCTTGTAGAGTACACAACTGATGCAACCGTACATTGATGAGCACTTGGCTATCATTAAGGCAGAGAGAAATGATCGTTTGGATGATTGGGTAATGAAACAACACAAGCAACGACTAACTACATGGTTGAAGGACCAAAACATACCACCTAGAGAAACCATAGACTCTATTACCATCACTAGGTTGGCGGAGGGGCCATCGAGACAAGTGATATCTTGGAGTGCTTATGACATCAATGGGTATACGTACTATACCCA